TTCCTGATTAAACTGATTCTTGATTTTAAAACAGGAATTCTAAATCTGTTACTAGTATTTAAAAGTTGGTGTCTAGTGTGATACTGGAAATTGGAATACTATATTTTGTATTACTATTCTATCTCGATCTATAGTATATAAATATGGATTTCTAGGTCTACAGGCTGTCATTCCCACATGGGCTTCATTGAAACATACGACATTGCAAAGTTTATCCATTTCAAACAAGCCAGGAAAACAGATAACTAGTCTTGCATCAGGCCCCGCAAATGTCCCATTTTCTCTCGGGAAATACATACATATCGGAGACATATTTCATAGCCAGAGGGTAAAAATGTCAAAATCGATATAAAATCTAAAAAGGATAAAATGTCCCCCGAATACGGTACCTAGGTAATTAAATCTAATATTTCATAGTTCCCGCATAATAAGCATAAAACTTTCATTTACCGCTGTATCGAAATTCACGTGATCCCTTATTGAAGTTTTACTAAATAATTGAGAGATCATTTAATGCTGTTGGATAGAATATTAGGCTGAAAAGAATCAAAATTTTAGCCCATGTCTGAGCGAATGGTATAAATTCACATAGTTCTGATTACAATGAGAATTCTAAAAAATTTCCTGTCATTTCCTTTACTCTACGTTTATAATCACGTATCATGCTTATTAACTAGATCAATAAAAACTCGATTTCCTTTGCCCACCATCAACAGTGTTATGTAATGACGGGAAATAGTCACTATAATCTTCTAATCAGCCGTTTGTTTTTATTGTAATTAGGAAACTAGTCAATTTTGATTTCGTATTGTTTCAATGAACAAAAAGCACATTAGTTCAGCATTTCAAGGAAGGGGGTGGGGTGTTAACAATTACTGACTGTCAAGTACATGTATCTCTCACGAGGCCCTATTTCCCCAACCCTCCACTCATGCATACGCCTATCATATGTTGGATAGGGAAATATATAACATTCCAACAGATACTGTCTGGACCTCCTACCCCGCTCCTACCCTTTTACACCGGCCGGGTCTCTTCTTAAACCCCTCCCATATTCTAATGTTTCTCGAAACTGCTAATGTAAACTTTGTAAGGCAATGCAGGGTTTGCTACGGGTGTGACTTGCAATGTATAACTTGTACTTGTATAAGAAATAAAAACAAATAAACAAACATAAAACATAATTGATACGATGATAAGCAACAAAACGTCAAAATAAAATTTCAAAAACATAGCTGAAATTAAGTTTATTCCAAATAACTTATGTAACGAAATGGAAATGATTCGAAAAATAACAATTCGATGAACATTTCACAATGAAGCAAACAAAACCAGATAGTAAAGAATTATTCTAATTTAAACCGACGTGAAACCTCAACCCTAAAGACACTGGTGACATTTGAAAGACTAATTTCTTAATCTAATTTCAACAAAACAAATCAAAACTTAAAAAGGTTGACGGTCGTTGTAGTTTATAGACCATGCTAACAAAGTTTCAACATTTTATTTACGGCTTATTTAAAACATGCAAACGGGTGTATTTACTGAAGGAATATGTTAGGAAATATATTTAAAGTGTATTCATGCTTGCGATCATCGCTGGTAACACCTGAAAAACAACTCCTTAAAATACAAACATAATTCACTGCGCTGCTGTATACATTGTACGTCTACCTGCTCTTAAATCTAATAATGAAACGAAAAAAATAATGCATGCCAAACTTTTATCTATTGTAATATTATCTATGGTTATTTCAAAGTTTTACTCTTGCATCAAGCAACTGTGCCATTTCCCCAATACAATATGGGATAAACCTTTCAGGCCCACTGTCAGGATGTATCAAGAGAGTGAGTTCACTTTTAAAGAAATTCCAAGGGGTTCACTTTTGACAACTCTGACCAAAAAATGACCAAAATCATTTGAAAATTGCTCAAAATGGTGAAAACTCCGACCCCCGGCCACTCCCTGGCTACGGTCCTGTCTTTAAGGGCTAACACTTTACTTGAGGCAAGATGCATAAACTTGAACTCCCTGGGCTATAACTTGAAGAACGGCGTATTGTTCTTCAAACTGGACTTGAAATCTCAATTGTCACTGCTTGTGTGTCATACTCATTGGCACCTGCAAAACAGAATAATATGATAAGAATAACATCATGATGATATCAGATATCATATTTCATTTGGAGCCTTAAATATTAAACAAGGCATAAACATGAAAAATGTCACCACCCGCCATTTGTTACAGACGCTGAACGCCGACCCCAGACGCTAAATAACCGTACACAAAAAAGTTGGAGACTTTAACAATATGTGACCACTTTTGGTGGTGACATAAAAAGGGGAAGTCCCGTCTAAATAAAACTCCTGGTTTCAAGTTTTTTGTAAACATACACCATTGCATGTTGATGGTTGTCATGACCTGCAGGTCACGATGACAAATGAATGTTACGTTGTAAATAGAATATAGCGTTTGACCATCTCTGATCATAAAAATGAGTTGATAGAAATTCAAGTAACATGTATCAAGTTCATTTTATCACAGACTACAACTATTGATTCCAAATCTGGTTCACTGAACGGCTCAATAATTAGTAGTAAAGCGTATTTTATAGAGTCAGTAGTCTGGTGGCAGTTTAGAAATCCCGCGTTCGAACACTTATAATACTCCTAGATCTTAATATAACAATACGGTTTTTGCAATACGTTGTTTGTAGACGCACCTGGTGATCGGAAAATATGAACGGATCGGAGGGGGTGGGGTTGGTGAAGATTTGTTGAATTTTCTATCAAAAATGGGATGACCTCCCTCCTCCGTTCATTTTGTCCGATCGCTGGGCGTGATAGATAATGTATTGAACGTTTTTATGTGTTTCTTATTGAACGAAATGTGTATTTTGGACTAATACTGTAATTCATAATAAATACAAGTATTTCAAGAATTGCCATACTGCACGTAAAACGGGTAGCCGTAGCTTCTTCACTGATGTACGATATACTACATGTACAGATGTACTTAAAAAAGTTTTGTTGCGACTAATAAAACAGATCATCTTTAATGTAAAAATAACAGGTGCACTTCATATAATCAATTTTAGATACTGTATTTACATGTAGTAATATTATGAATCCCAAACACAACGCATTAATAAAATGCATGTTTAAGTGTCAATTAGCCTATTCGAATAAATATATTAAAACTATGAACAGATAATTCATTGATATGTATTTATTCAACTCTAATGGGCTTTTCTCTTTTAACTGCTACATGGCTCTCGATTTACAGATTTACAGATTTCGAGCCATCAAAGTCAGATTAGGCGGAGCCCTTATCCTCGATTAAAAAATAATATATATTGGTAAGGAAGTCGGACATGTTTGATACAATTTCTCATCTCTTTTCTGCTTTTAAAATAACCGACTTGAATCACAATTTGTGTACGATCATTGCATCAGATCTGAAAATATCAATATTGTACTCACTGGTTTTGTGATGGAAAGGTAGTTTTTTCGTATAACAAATATATGAGTTATAGATTATATAATTAGTGTGTTTTTTATGAAAAATAACATGCTCCCCGCAGGTGACAAATACTTTGACCACAGCCGTGATACTGTTTTATTTAACTCGAATTTGAAAACAGATTGCGGAGAGACTGAATTGTTCATTTTCTTTTAAAAAATATACGACTGAAAACTTTGGTCAAATTTTGGCCCTTGCTATCCCCCCCAGCCCCCGGATACATTCCAATATAAAAATAAATTAACACCATCAAATCTTTTTATTCCAAAACACATTTCGACGATGAATATTAATATTATACGTTTTAATCATAACCTAATAATGTCCGATAACACATGCAGATGAAAATAACAAAAATGACATAGACCTATTTAAGTATTTAGTTTAATCATCAGTTTGTTTATTATTATATTTTATCACTCATACCGATGAAAGTGTTTTTACGTTGTTTCAATGCCGATCGGAGATCTGCTCACGGTATGTTTAGTACAGTACAGTCAGTGTGTGTCGATCGATCCCTCCGACTGGGAATTCAAATTAAACGCCGATAGACGCGTCGATGGGCACTCAGCAAGCTGAAAGGCATGCCGATCGGCGAGCCTACCGACGACATCTCGGCGTGCCGATCGCTCGCACCTAGGCGCGTGCCGGTGTGATTTCAGGCATGATCAGTACTGTATAGGAAATTGAATATATGAAAGAAGGAAATGAAAAGTATGAAGAGTAACAAAAAGCCTTGAAGGGTCAATACAAAAAGCCTAAAACAGGAAAGCTTCATGGCAGACAAAAAATGTCCAAGTTTATAACAGCTTTTAAAACATTGTTTGAAAGACATTCATATACTGTAACTGTAATGAAAACAACACAAACTAACATTAAGACAAGATACTGATGAAACATATCACTGTAACATCATAAATATAAATATGTGTGATCCCTTGACTATAATGGGTTCTATGATACATAATTGTAAAACTTCATATGTATTTTGTATAACTTGTAGTATATGAAGTTTGAAATTAGGTACTCAATATGCTATATTTTGAAAACATTGTCATAATTACATTTAACATCCATTTCTATGTTATAGACACAAAATGCCAATTGCCAGTCATAATTTGTGAACTCTTTATCATGGTTACATAAACCTCATTTACATTTTCTCCATGGCAACTGTAGGGTAGTCATAGCTTCAAAAATCAACATAGATCTACATCGCACTGCTTATCCCTATACTTTATGCGGCATATTTCTCTCAATTTTGAGAAGCTACAGCTGCTGTTCAGTTACTGTAGATCAAATGTGACTGAGGTATTGTCCAAAATCATTAAACAATATGTGGCATCTCTGGTCAGTGTATTTGAACACAAGCTGCAATACAGTCCCTGACACTGCTAACACAAATAAAAATACGATAAAAAAGTCTTGTACATCCAGAACAGAACAGCTAAGTTGAAGTAAAGACCAAGGTTAAACCAACAATTAGAGGAAAGAATAAGGATGATTCTTAGAATGGCATTTTTCACAGTCTAGTTTCAATTGAACGGTTGCTTGTTGCTCCAGTAGGATTTTTGTTGGTTTTCTCGCAACACTTTAATTCCCTATAGACCAGTTTGGATAGCACAGAAGAAACACTGATAAACACACCTTGGCTGGCATTAAGCAGGATGAATATGTAAGAAAGGGCTTCATGGGTGAAAGGACAAATGAAACCACAGATCCAAGTGAACCCCATGATAATGAAGAGCTTGATATAAACCTTGATATGATAGTCATGTGTGTTTGTTACCATCACTGTTTCTCTCCAACTTCTTCTAAGAGATACAACAGTCAATATGTACATGATGGAATTGAATATAATGACACACGCAAGAGGACCAGCAAAGAACAGCAAGTTGGCATTTGGATTAGAGATCTGACACAATGGATTTCCATAGAGAGGTTTGAATATTGTATCAATTGGAACAATATCAAAAACCACTGATATTGATACAATCGGAGCAGGTATCAGAAACACTGTGAAACAGTATAGTAGAAGTGTTTTATTATTTGAACAATTTTGAACAGGCAACCTAAATGTGCGGTACATATCAAAGGCAATTGCGGCCAACCAGGTGAATACACAAAGAAAAGAATAATGGATAAGTATTCCAATGACTTTGCAAATAATCCATGCCCCATTTGCAAAAGGACCACAAAGGTAGAGGATGTGAGCAAAGCATAAGGAAAGAACAAAACAAAATTGCATCTTACCAGGAAATGAGTGATATGCTGGGATAAATGGTTGCAAAGCAATTCTAACAAACATACTCAAGATCGAAAGAGCAAGACAACATATTGTAAGATACCCCTTTATATCATTTGAATCTATTTCATGTTTTGAGGATGATGGCTTATCATGTTTTTCAAACAATGTCATCTCAGTTACTTCATCATCACAGTCTTCCTGTAAAAGAACCATTCTACTAGCCCAATCATACATAGTGCATATTCCCATCATCTTAAACATACTGGAAAAAACTGTGCCACCCAATGAAAAAAATAAATCACTGAAACATTTCTCTAAAGCATATAATACTTTGTTTAAAGTTTCATTATGCACCTCATATTGGGAGATATTTTGTTCATCTCTAAGTTTCATTGTGTATTCTATTATGACTGTACCATTCTGATCCACATTGTCAAACTCGTTAGTACATGTATATGTAGATTGATCTCGGTGATTAAAATACTTGAGACTGAAATATTTCACACAAGCAGAGACTCTATTATGATATACTCCAATTGCAGTCGTCCCAATAGGAGAGTCATTGAAATGGCTTGATCCATTTCTTAAGCTGTAATCAATGATAACCTTAAAAGGGAAGAAAACTCTCACATACAAGTTATTTCTAAGTTCAAAGTCAGCATTGCAAACATAAGTACAGCTTGTTAAAGTACAATTGACATCTTGTTTTCTTCCATCAATGTTAAGTCCTATGTGAAAGTCATTGTTTGGGTTTATATTCATCAACAATGCAAATGAGAATTTAGAAATATCAAATTGACTCCTAAGGAAATATGAATAGCAAGTTTCAACATATTCTAAGTCTGTATATTGCCAATTATTGGCACACATTGCACAATATTCATTCCTATATATTGTGTTGTTGTTTTTAAACAAGAAAGCTGGCTTATCGATTTCACACATCCGTCTCAAATCATTTGACAAACAGTTTGTATCACATGTAGAAACAGCAGGGAAACATCCATGTACATCATCTGGTGCAATCAAAGAAAACTTACATGTCCCATCTTCATAAAAATCTTGAAGTTTTTCAAACATTTTCAAATTATATTTTACAGATTTTGCACAAAACACTTTCATAGGCCAATAGGTAAAGTTTTCACTGGTGTTATAACCATTACATTCAACACAGTTCTTGTTCAGAAAAGTTAAACCAGAATACTGAACAGGCACATTGTCTAATAAGACATTTGTTGTAGGGCATACTGTGTTGTTGTTATCATTACATGTTGTTACCATTCTTGCACTAAATGTATTATTAACAGGCCAGCAATCAGGTTTGCCATATAAGGGAATATATTTTGAGTTGCGTTCCTCAGATGGGCAGTATGAGGCGAAATCTATACAGCAGTCATCATAGAATTTACAATATATATCACATCCACATGTAATTTGCGACTGCCCACATTTATCAATACAACTATAAAGGAACGGGCGTTCATTTGCACAGTTAGCAATATTGTCATTTATAACATTCCTCTTCAGGCTATCTGGATTTTTACAGCTATAAGAAATTCTAGGGGATCTATTGTCGTTTGCAGCATCAATAATATGTTCTGAGTTGATAGGTGGCTGAGTTTGTCCAGGCTGTTGATCTATTGTTGTTGTTATATCTTCACCATTTACTATTAGTATAGGAGGCTTCACAGCTGTTCTATTATTTCTATGATGTTCAAGTTCTTGACTTGTGGTATTTGCTTGGTCCCCATTATTCAGTTGTAGATGAGTAGTGTTTTCTAATCCCTTCATATATCCACTCTTATGTGAAGGTGTTAGACTAGTTTCAAAATCAGAATGTGGGGTTGTTAGTCCAATCTCTGGTGCAACAGTCGAAATGTTTTGACTACTTACAATCACCCCAGAAGGTTTCGTATGACCTTTCACTTGGCTTTTATCAGTTATGGTATAAGGATGACTGGTGTGTGGCACTTCTCTTCTGTTCACATACTTAACTCTTCTCTTAGATTGATTATAATATTCCGCTGGTGACTTTCCCACTCGGTAAAGTCCATTTTGTAATTTCAAAATTTGCAAAACTGTTAAAATAAGTAAATACTTTGGAGAAAAAATCATGTTTGCTTTCCTGAATCCTCTAAACATCTTCAATCAACAAAGTGCATCTACAAAGTGCATCAACACATAATAAATAAATGAAGCCTATGGAAGTGAAGGGAGATTGGATCATAAAAAACATGTAAAAATAATATTAATTCATATTTCATTTTGCACTTGGTTATCTTTTCCATTTTCAAATAAATATAGCCTCCAAGTACAGAACCTCATAAAAACCAATAAAAACAAAATTGTTATTATGAATTCAAAATTGAGAATGCCAAGTTCATCCAATAAACTGAGAAAGTTCATGATTGTATAATTAGTCAAGCTACACATATCTCAATTTATTCTTTATTAGATTTCAATTGTAGAATATGACTTAGTAGTATATTTGCACAAAATATGTGTATGAAACAGATGTTGACTGTGAAGGTAAACATCCTATTAAGCATACAGACATTTCAAATTTGAACCGAAGGACTTTTGTCAAGCAGTATACCTGTCAAGGTCAAACCCATCAACGTAATTAAAAGAGGCCATTTTGAAATATTTTTGATAGGAAGATATTCTATACACAAAAAGCAAATGTGAACCAATGTATCGAGTGCTATGGATGGAATACCACCATTTCTTTTTTGTCACATGGTACTGTACTAGTATATGATTGACCAATTAGAGAACAAGTATCACAGAATCCATGAGCATTATTAATTATTGATGTAGTTATAATACCATTAACCATGATTTTTCTCATATCAAGTCATAATGACACCATTAAAAAACATAATCTAAGATCATTAATGAATTACTTGAAGTTCTAGAAAAATTAATAGTAAGCTACAAATTTGATTGTGAATAATGAATGATTTAAAATCGAAGAGGTAGATTTTTTTAGAATAAATGAATTAAAAAAATCCTAACTGTATTATGTTGTCTTGTTTTGGATGAAACTGTCTGAAATGATATGTAAAGAATCTGTCTCATAAACATCTTGAGTGCCTGCTTGTCAATCTAGGGAATCAAGTGGCAATTTCCACCAAATTGATCATTAACCTTTATGCAGACTCCCTTTATAATCAAGCCTTGGTTACTATCTCGCTAGAAAACAGCAAATCCATGGAGAAGCAAATCCCACCAACAAAAATTGTTTTGATAAATAGTTCCCATCTTCTTGAATTTCTTCCTGAACAGTTCTCCCTTGTCCCTAGGTATTAGCATATAAGATTTGAACCACATCCATCAACTGGTGTTTTTATGAAAAATGGCAGCCATTTTGAAATTCAGGAGCCATATTGGAAATTTCTTCTCGAGCAGAGCTCCTTTAAATAAGCATTAACATATAAAATTTGAACTAAATCTCTCCATTAGTATTTGGGAAATCAAAGCTTACATGGCTTTTTTGAAATTCAGTTGTCATCTTAAAAATTTCGTCTCAAACAGAGCTCCTTTGTCCCTCGGCGTCAGCATTTAAAATTTGAACCAAATTCGTCCACTAGGTATTTGAGTTATCAAAGATTATGTTGTTTTTACAAAAAATGGCAGCCATTTTGAAATGTGGTAGCCATCTTGAAAATCTCTTCTTGAGTTGAGTTCCCATGTCTTAAAGGGTTCCAATAAGCTTCCCGAATAAAAACAATATGGCAGCTCCAGGCGAGTCAACTGGATCAGTCCTTTTTAAGAAATAAGGGGAGTTTATTGAAATTGTCTTGGAAATAAAGTAATCCCTTTATAATGATTCTGAAATTATATTGAGAGAGTGATTGTTCAAAGAATGCATGTTCAACAGCCAATATAAATCCTTGTATTAGAACTGTTTTGTTTCATTTGGAGGATATTTCATATGCCAAGCTGTGTACTATTACGTTATGGGGAAATTTAGATGTTAATTTTTCCTTATTATACACAAATAGAAGATCCTGAAACTTCACCCATTAATGTGAAATTGATTTGTCATAGTTAGAGGTGTTGACACAACAAACTCGAGCCTGTGAACCCTTGATTATTATTCCGGGATCGGGCCTCTTATACTAAACTGTGAGCAACACCAGAAACAAGCGTTCGATTTGCTTTAAACGATATGCGTCACCCTTTAAGACATCGGCATATAACATTTCAGCCAAATCCATCAATTGGTATTTGAGTTATCAAAGATTCTGTTTTGTTCTGTTTCGAAGAATAGCAGCCATTTCGAAATTTAGCCGCCACCTTAAAAAATCATTCTTGACCAGAGCTCCTATGTCCCTAGGTATCAGCACACAGAACCAAATCCATCCACCGGTAGTTATCAAGGATTACATTGGTAATGGTGGCCATTTTGAATTCAGCAGCCGTATCAGAAATTCCTTCTCAATCAGAAGTCCTACACCCATAAGGCATAAGTCTATAAAATTTGAACTAAATCCATCAACCGGTATTTGAGTTATTGCCTGGACACACAAATGTACGAACAAGGAATGGATGGATGGATGGCTTTCCTATATTCCCCTCCAACTCAGTGTGGAAGCTTAACAGTCGCACCTCGCCAGAGGCGGAAATGAAAAGTGCTGGGCGATAATTTGTGATTTTTTCTTGCCTTGCTTGCGATTATGGATTTAGAACGTTTTCAGGTGAGAATCCCAGCGACATACCCACGACATTACTGTGGAGAGGCAGTTATCTATGCAAACTGGCGGCTATATTTCACTAAAGTCCTATAATTCGGACGTAAATTCGCCTATTTCCGTTTCAAAGTTCTTTGCAATGTTCATGGCATTTTCTTCACTAGGTGGCAGCACTATTGATAGGGTACCCTCTCGTGCTCATTGAAACAAGAGAGGGATACAAGGTGATTGTGACCTATATTTTTCATCCAATCAAATGTAAGTATATAATGATACGTCATCTAATTATCGCAAACGATTGTGGGATAGCTTTATTCCTTCACTATGGATGATAGATGGAAATCGTTCAGATTTCTTCCCACAAAGCGAGCCAATGGTAATTTACGAACTATAAATTGTTGTTATTTATGCAGTATATACTTGTATGTATTTATTTCGGTACTTGATTGTGGCTCTAACCCTAAATTTGGCGCGATGTTGGCGGATTAATGAAAAATGCATATCAGCATATTACTACCCCGGATTACTACGTGTTCATGAATGAAATAGTTCTACTATGCTCAATGCTATATTGTTTACAAACTTTATACACGTGGACTCAAGTGTTATGAATTTCATAATTAATTAATTTACTCTAATTGACAAACTATTTCGACATACCAGTAGTTAATTTCATAATGCTTATTTTGCAGCTGAGGTTCCATCTTGTTCTAGTAATAAAGGCAAAGGCTACAATAGCAATAATGGTTCTGCCACTGGTAAAACCTGGCCAAAAAAACAAAATCCCCCCTCCTCAACTACAAATGAACCAACATCTGCAAGTGCAACCCCCAGCCCTCAATCCACACCCACAGTACCATCCAAAAGGAGAAAATTAGCCCCCCAGAATCGTGTTTTTTTAAAACACTGGAAAGTAGGAAGACCATGGCTTGAATATGATACAACCAATGAGCATATATGGTCTGCTCTTATTGTAAATCTCACAAAACTAAAATCAAACCTAAGTTTAGTATTTTTATGAATTTCATGCAATAGTTAGTTATAGTCAGTTTAATTTCATTATAATACTATGTATGCGCAACGGCGAGTTATTAGGCTACAATGGCAAGTATAAAAACATTTGCACTTGCCAAATGTTGGCAACTTAAAAAATGGCAAGGCAAGTATAAACCCAATACCAATTGCCTATCAGGCAAGTATAACCCAAAACCCAGCTTCCACACTGCAACTTCATTCGTTGGGATAATGACAAGGGAAAGTGAGATGGAGGTTGTTCTGTGTTTTTTTGAGGAATATTCATTTTGAAGTTGGTAGAGTGTAGGTCTGTACCAATACCACTTAAAGAGTTGAAGGTGAAAATTCAAAGAAAAATATAAGCCTTTGAAATTGTGAAAAATTTTCAAGACTCAGGCTATAAGACCCATTTTTGCAGAAAAACTTTCAATCAAATTTCTTTCAAATGGGCCTAGATTTTTTAAATATCTGGATGAAAATTTCAGGAAAGATGCCCAGAAAAGAGAATAAGCCATTTTCTGCATTTAACTCAGTGGATTCATTGCAATCTTTCATTTACAGTCCACATCCCTATAGATTCCCAAATCTGCATCTGCACATGAAGACTAAATAGTCCAAAGACAGGTTAAGAGATGGTTCAATATATTGACTATTGTGTTCTTCGTTACAAGTATTTTAATTTGTTTTTACAAGAATCTGCCTGTACCTAAGTGTGTCTGCTTGTGTTCTTTGTTAACACTGACAGTTTCATTAATTATTTAAATATAACCAGATTCTCTAGCAGTAGAATTACATTTCATCTGATGAGGTACCATTTATAAGATGCCCTGTGGTATTGTCCTCTGAGATAAAGCTGTCTAATTCTTCACAATTTCAATGGCAGCAAAATTAAGTAAGGTATGTGTAAGCAACTGCTATGTCTGTGTCATGCAACAGATCAGTCAAGAAAGAGAATACCTTTATGTGGGAGATATCATTTAACCTTCACGAGTTGTACTGTGTAATAGTCAAAATGATAATTTTGGAAAAGTTCAGTGAAAAAAAAATTTGGTATATGCACAAAAGAAAAAGAACAAAAATATATACGGTATATGAATCTACAGTGTATTCTAATATAAAGAAACCTAAAGAAATTATTAATCTCAGGCGAAAGCAGCAATTCATATCTAAATTGATGATCTCAAAATTTAGATTGAGATATTAATAAAACGATAATCAAGGGCCAGTTCAACTAATATATCTATTATACTTTGTGTCTACCTCCCAAAATGCATTTGAAATATCGCCTTAAAATCACCAAATACATCATAACAAAGAGGGGAAACTGTATAAAGGAAAATGACTTAATATGGAATGGGCAGACATGAGTACATGTAAGCAAGCCACAGTCATGGCTCTAAACCTGCATTGGTAAAGTACTGTATCTAACTGTAAAGAAGTATCTTAATTTCCACCAGTAGTAATTTGTGTCTTGTGATAGTCTCCAGATATTGCCGACTCCTGTTATCCATATTATATTCTAAATTCACTTTCTTTTTTAAGAATTGAACACATAATTCTATGCTTTCAATTCTAAATCAACATTAAAATTATCCAGGTTGCTATTACAACACTCAACAAAAAACATTAATTTCATGGCCTTACAATGCACAAGGTCATTGTTAATTAGATTGCTTCTCCAACCTTAACCATCTTATCTATTCAAACATTTATCTATTCTATACAAGACTATGTAGGATTATTTTCGAAGAATCATTCAGAATACTAATGTTATATCAAAGGGAGCAATCTGATTTATATTTTCCTCTGGTGCGCATTAAAATAAGATTTCGGAATACTTGAGGGAGAAAATTTGTTAATTAAATCGAGCAATATGTCTCAATTCTTGAAAAGAATACTGTGATTAACGATTCATGAAATATAACTGTCTTTGACTATGTTCCTAACCTAAAATAGTGACAAAACAATTGAAATTCATGACTTGTAATTCACAATCATTTTGAGAAACGGCTTTTTTATAGATTAGGCTATTAGGACAAATAGCTAATGAAAGTCAATCTCAGACTTCAAAACCTTTT